AACAAGAATGGCATGCCCCAAGATCACAATCATCCAGGCTGTGTATTTTCGGAAAAATCAAAGTAGTATATTTATAACCTAAAAGATTTATTGGCAACAATTATAGACTAAAATATATACTGACGGGTTAGGCAGACACACAAATAAGCAGTTAGATCAATATTTTTTTAGTTTTTGCAATGATACATTTGAATTTAGCATGGTAGAAAATGTGTCCATTTTATAATGATCTAAATGCTGATCTTTTGTCAATAACCCTATGCAATTATGCAAATACTGACAGTCTGGGCTTACTTCGTAGCTACACAAACTGCCAACACCATATATCAAATAGTTCTGTATCTTTCAAAAGTTTTCAAGCGACGAGATGAATATGAATCCCGCTTAACTTAGTATCATATGTTTACATGGATGTTGTATTGTGTTTAAAACGTGATATGCACTTTTCTACCCATTATATTTTGTACGATAGGCTGAGGCCCTGTACAGAAATAAAATTACATAATACAACATTGACTAATACTAAAATGAATAATTGTAGACAGAATTCGACATGAAATCGTGTCACTTTTATGTGCACTAACATCTGCAAAAAGCAAAAAATTCGTGAGTAGCCTTTTACCTTAAAACAATAGACAATAATGCTAAGATACACGTGTTGTGTGTTTGTCTGTGAGCGGGGAATGGCTCAGGACCCCTTCTCTAAAATAGTTCAAAGATGTTATGTGAAATAACTTAGCAACGTAACACAAAGTAAACCAATTGAATTTAAAAGTGAGAATATAAAAATGTCTGAAACAGCTCAAAGACACTTTTTGAATATTACAAAATTCACACGTTTCACGTCAAATATATTATTGTTGTTTTCGAACCCCCTATTCAAAAGTGCTGGCCACGGGCCTGACATACCTTGATTGGTGACAGGCAGTGTGCTTTCACTCCTCGAAGACATCACGAAAGGACGGTGTTCATACGCACTTTGCATACACTGGTAATCCACCGGTATCTCCGATCTCATGCAATCGTCTAATCTTGGCGTGAATAATTCAGGACGATCAGGAAAACACCACGAACACATTTCACAATTGTCACTTAATGTGTCAAGATAAAAACCTGTGATGAATAAAAAAAGGACAACTCAACACAATAACAAATAATTGTGAACTCATAAACTCAAAGCAACCGCGGCAGCCAAGGAGTTAGATCACGTGTTATGTAGTGCAGCGTAGTGTAGTGTAGTCTTGTGTTGTGTTGTGTTGTGAGCAACATTATCTTTACTTTCAAACTCATAGTTGCTGTCGACAGAGGAAGTAAAGTAAGCAAATAACACCGAATAAACGGCAAGGTAAATACTACGTCTAATTATAGTAAACACGTACTTTTTGGGGGGATGCCCGGTGGCCAAGGGGAAGACGTGTAGTGGTAGGTGCCGTAT